CAACAGCCAATGGCCCCACACACACGGAACTGAGTCCTACAACAAGAGAAAGAAAGAGAAGAAATATCTAAAAACATAACAGCTAAGAATTTTTCAAAAATAAAGACATCAAGCTACAGATTCTAGAAGCTCAAAGAAACCTCAAAAGAATAAATTCCACAAGCATAGTGGCAGGCACCTTTAGTCCCTGCTACTTGGGAGGCTGAAGCAGGAGGATCGCTTGAGCCCAGAGTTCAAGTCCATCCTGGGCAACATAGACAGACCTTGTCTCTTAACAAAAAATAAAAATGAATTCCAAAAACCAAAACCACACACAGAAAGATACACTATAATTAACATACTAAAATTCCAAAGGTAAAGAAATCTTGCAAGTTGTAAGAGAATAAAGAAAATAGGGTGGCGCCTGTGGCTCAAAGGAATAGGGTGCCAGCCCCACCCATATGCCAGAGGTGGCAGGTTCAAACCCAGCCCTGGCCAAAAAAAAAGAAGAAAAGAAAAGAAATAAAATAGAGAAACAAAAATAAGAAGTACAGTAGTAGACTTCTCAACAGAAGTCATTCTAATCAGAAGACAATGAGTAACTATTTTGAAGTACAATACTAAAGAAAATTCTAACACCAAACTCTATAGCCAGAAAAAATAAACTTCCAAAACCAATGACAAATGAAGAATTTTTCACATAAAAATCGGGGAAAAATCAATGCCTACAGACCACCACTATAAGAAATATTCTTCAGGAGGATGACTACAATACCAAGTAGAAACTCGGACCTATGCACAGAAATGAATAGTCAAAAATCTTTCCAAAACTGACAATACGGTGAGCTAGTGAGGCTGTGGAGCAGCTGGAACTCTCACATGCCGCCAGCAGGAACGCAAAGTGGCACAGGGGAAAAACTCTAGTCTGGCAATTCCTTAAAGAATTAAACATGTATGTGCTTAACATGTGATGCAATGATCCCAGTCCTAAGTATTTAACCAAAGGAAAACATGTCCACACAAAGATCAAGTGCTTACAGCAATGTTAGCCATAATTGCCAAAACTTGAAACAACTCAAACCTCCATCAACTGGTAAACAGATAAACTAATTGTGCTATATCCATAAAATGGAATGAATGGAAAATCCACTAATATATTCAGCAGCATGAATGGATCTCAGATCAATCTACTAAATGAAAGAAGCAAATTACAAAAACTATCAGATTCTTTTCACATAACATTCCATACGAGGAAAAATGCAGGTACAAGAGTCAGGTCAGTGGCTGCCCAGGGCTAGAGAAAAGGGAAGGAACTGTTTACAGAAGGGCCAGAGGGCCCTTTCTTGGCATAACAGAAATAATCTATACACTGTGGCATCTGTCACACAACTGTACGTTTGTCAAAGGTAACAGAAATGTACACCTACAAACTGTAAATTTTACCATATGTAAATCGCATCTCAGTAAACCTGATGCTTAAAGAAAAGAGGGAGGCATAGTGTGTAACGGCTAAGAACACAGACAGCAGATACATGCAAACCATGTATCTGATAAGGGCCTAATACCCAGAATACACAAAGAACTCCTACAGCTCAACCACAATACAATCCAATTAAAAAATGGATAAAGAACGTACATAGACATTCCTCCAGAGAAGATATACAAATGGCCGATAACTCCATAAAAAGAAGCTCAACATCACAAATTGTTAAGCAAAGGCCAATCAAAGCCACAACAAACCAAAAGGCACAGTGGCAGGAGCCTGCAGTTCCAGCCACTTGGAGGCTAAGCAGGGAAGAGGGCATGAACCCAGAATTCATGCCTGGGAACACAGCAGGACCTTGTCTCAAAGACAGACAGACCAACAACAAAACCCATAATGAGATCCACCCCACCTGAGGATGGCTGATATCAAAAAAATAAAGTATTGGCAGAGATGTGGGGAAATTAGAACCCTCTGTGTTGCTGGTAGGAATATAAAGTGGGGCAGCTGTTGTGGAAACCTAAGCAATTCCTCAGAAGTTAACAGAATTACTACATAATGCAGCAATTCTGCTTCTGGGTATATACCCAAAAGAACTGAAAACAGAGACTCAAACAAGTATTTGTACACCACCAATATTCATAGCAGCACATTCACAATAGTCAAAAGGTGAAATATTATGCAGCCTTAAAAAGGAATTAAATTCTTACATGCCATAGCCTAGAAGGACCTAGGGACATTATGCTAAGTGAAATAAGTCAGCTACAAACAAATATTGTTGATTCCACCCACATGAGGTACCTGGAATGGCCTAATTCGTAGACACAGAGTGAAATGATGGCTACCAGGGCCCGAGGGAGAAAGGAATGAGGATTCTGTGCTGGGGATAGAGTTCCAGATTGGGACAGTGCAAAGTCCTGGTAATGGATGGTGATGATGGCTGCAAAAAACTGTGAGTACACTGAATGTCACTGAATCATACATGAAAAGCAGCTAGAGTGGTATCTTGGGGTGCATATGTCTTACCACAAATAAAAAAATATATATGTCATCCCTAGACTTGGGTGGCATAGATTCCCAGCTCTGCCACTGACAGAACAACTTTGGGCAAATTATTACTGTCTATGTCTCATTATCCTAAGCTCTAAAATGGTGACTAATGATAAAACCCACCACACAGGGCTGCTGTGAGGATCACACGGCTTCATGAAGCACTTCCGACACAGCCGAGCACCGTGTGAGCATCCAGTGAGCACCAGGCACTAATGCTGTGACCCACGCCCAGCACCGTGTGAGCACCCAGTGAGCACCAGCCACTAAT